CCCCCCCCCACGAGAGGCAGGGTGCCTGCCCGCGGGACTGTGTTTTTTCTGCAGGGCTGCGCGTCAGTCCCCCGCCCGGCCCCGGGCACCGTCACCCGGATGTCAGACTCCCTGCCCGCTGGCGATCTCAGGTCCGGCTGTGCTCCTGGGCCCTCCTGCTGGGCATACAGCCCAGGCCAAGAAATCGGGCTACCCCCCCTCCCCCCCTCCTGGGCCCGTGTTTTGGCGAACTGCGCGCCCCAGAGGGCCAGGGGTGCGAGGCCGACCCGGGGCGCCTCCCACGCCGAAGGCACACACGCCCCGCGCCCGTGCTGGGAGTTTCTTCGGCCTTCCAAGAGCCAGACGCTGCACCGCGGATGGGCGCCGGGTTCGTCCGGTCCGTCTGAAACAGCACGGCGCGCATCCCGCCCGCATTGACGCCGCAGAGCAGACCCTGCGGAGAGGGCACCCGGTGGGGGCGTCGGCTCGTCGGCCCCCGGATATGTGTGCCCCACAGCGTGCCGGCGGCGGATGCCCGCCTCTCGGTCCTTTCCCCGCTGTGGATGGGCTAGGCTAATGTGCCTGTCCGAAAAAAGGATCCACCTGTATGTGCGCGTGTGCGTGTCATCACTGCTGGGTGTATTCTTGGCGCGTGTGCTCCACGCTGGGCCGGGAAGGAGACGGAGTGGGGGAAAAAGGCCCCATCGATGCGGCAGGGTGTGCGCACGGAGGCGCGGCCCTGATCACACGGAGGACCCGTGCCGATGCGTGACTTGGAAGATAGATAGGATAAATACCATTTGACCAAGGCATGCTAAGCCCTGCCCGACCGGGCGGGCGAAGAGTGCACAAAGCATGAAACATGCTTTTCGCAAGGCTGGCCCTGTGCGCGGGAGATCGCAGACGGCGACCAGCGCAGGCGTGGCTCCGGTGCCCTTTCTCTCTCTCCCCCCCCCCCCCCCCCCCCTCTCTCTCTCTCTCTCTCTCCTAGCCCTCATACACGTAGACGTACATTCGCAGACATGCCGAGGAATCTGCCAACCACCGCGGCCTGGGCGTTCCCGCGTGCCTCGCAGCCCAACCAACATCCCACATCTGACATCCAACATCTGAGCCTCCCCGCTGAGTGCGATTCCTGAGGCCTCAGCCCCACCTCCTCGGCCCTCTTGCGCCAAGGAGCCAGCCCGTGAGCGGAGGTGCTTCGGCGGCTTTACCCTTGAGAGGGTATTCTTCTTGGAACATGCAAGGCCGCATGTGGTCGACATATGTGTCCCCTTGCCCTTCTCCTTGCCCTTCTCCTTGCCCTTCTCCTTGCCTCCCTCCTGGCCCCTCTCTGCCTCCTCCACCGTCCCCCTTCCGCCCCATCTCCCCGCTACCCCCCCCCATCTCTCTCTTCCTCTTCGTCTTCCCCCCTTTTTCATCATCACACTTGATCGGGCGGATGTCCGGTTCATATCGACCGGAGGTGGGTAAGATCGAGGGTGCCGGCGCAGAGGGCGCACCACCGCCGGGCAAGCCCCCGATCTCTGGCTCCCTTGACGCCGAGGAGCCGGGGCGGTCGCCATCCGCCCGGCGTACGGCGCGTCCGGGACTCCTTCCACTGCGCGCGTCTGAGCGCATGTCCCCCTCGCGCACGCCCTCCCGGCGTCTGGCGCCCGGGAGCCCGCGCTCGCCGATCCAGCAGTTGGTGCAGGAGCTCCAGCGGGACACTCTGACGGATCATGACATCTATTCGCTGGCCGCGCCGGCGGGTGGGGGGCCTTTGCGCGATGGCGTTGGTGTACCCCTCGGCTGGGCATTCAGTCGGGCGGGTTTGCCCTCGCAGCGCATTTCGGGCCTCGGTGGGTGCACCTTTCCGGGACCTCCTTCGCCCCACTCCGCCGCTTGATTGTCACTGACTGCCTCTTGTCGGTTTCCCTTTCCCCTCTGTCGCCGGTCCCCTGTGCCGACCATGTAGATTCCTTCCAACTGATGCAGCAGCCCCAGTCAGACCATGGATTCCCCATGGCCGGATCCTTCTCCAGCATACCGGCTCCCCCTCCGCCGGTTCTGTTGCCCTCTTCGCGCAATGCGTCCGGCATGTCCTCCAGTTCGGTGATGGAGCAGCTGCTCCGGACGGGGGACTTCTCGTCACTTTCCTCCGCCGGAAGTGGGTCCCCCATCCCCGGCTTGCCGCAGGGCGCGAGGCCTTCCCTTTCGATGGGGGAAAAGCCGCCGCCGGCGCCCCTCTTCCTGGACTCGCGACCGGTCGCAGCGGCCGCGGTGGCAGAACCAACAGCACCAGCAGCACCAGCAGCACCAGCAATGGCAGCGGCGTCAAAGACCACGGCGGAGACGGCGATGGCCATTGATGCGCCAGCCGTAGCAACGACCACACCCGGTGCCCCGGTGGCGCCCGGGGTTGTCCGGCCGTCGACGGCACCATGCCCGGTGTCGGAGCCCACGACCGCCGCCTCTGGCCCGGAGGAAAATGCCTGTTTGTTGCTGGTGTCGTTGATACTCTCGGTGCCGGTGGCCCGGCCGGCAGTCCGCCGGGTGCTCGATGACCTGAGCCACTTCCCGTCTGGCTTGGCCGGGCTGGCGCGGCGAATGGTCGGACGCCTGAGCACGGTCCTTGGCATGGATTTCAACCTTCCGACGGCCCTGTTGACGGTGGCCCACCGGCACTTCGTGAATTTGGTGTCCCCCGCCTGGAACTGGCTGTTGTACCCGCTGCTCGGGGAGGCTGGACCCAATGGGCCGGTCACCGTGTCGCCGGCTTTGGCTTCCCTTTACTCGGAGCTGGCCGGGCTCCTGGAGCCATTGGCCACCATCCCCCTGGTCGGGCGTGGCTCCGAGACCACCCCTGACGCCGAGCGTCCCGGTATGTTTCGCTGCTGGTGGGGATTTTCCCATGGCGCCGGAGGGGAGAGAGGGAAGGGGGAGGGGGGCAACCTGTCCGGCAATGGGCCCGGCAATGAGTCCGGCAATCAGTCCGAACGTCTTCCCCTGTCTCTCGCGCTTTTCTGACTGCCCCCCATCCTGGCGGTCGATATGTGGGCCCTGCGTCGATCGATGTCCGACCAGAATCACCACAGACCGACGACTGGGCGCACTGCCCGGCCACGAGGCGCGGCACACAGGCCATCCAATATCTAATGCACCCGGGCATGCACCGGCCATTGTCACAAATGCTGTCACATGCGATGGCCGCGCAGGAGCACTTTGCCGAATCGGCCATCGGGGTGGTGGTGCTGCTGGCCCTGCGGCATGCGGCACACACGGCCGATTCGTTGGTGATGGAGTTCCCTCCTGGCATGGCGGTGTCGGCCGCCTCGCTGCCATTGATCCTCGGACAGATCCAGCGGCGTCTGGCCACATTGCAGACGTTGGCCTTCAGTGGACTTGGAGGGCCCAGCCCGGTCGGGGTGGCCGGGTCGGCCGGGTGGTTTGCCCGGCCCTTCGCGGGGCTGGACACCAGCTCGCCGATCATGCCCGGGCTGGGCTCCTCATCACCGCCGCTGTTTCGGAGTGATGCATCGTCTCCGCGCCCGGATGGCGAGTCTCCGTCACTGCAGTCCCGGCTGCCGGCCGACCTGCGGCCAGACCCGCGGCCGGATCCCCACGACCTGGCCCTGAATGATCCCCTTGAAAGTACGAGGCTTGAGAATGGCCGAGGTCCGGACTCCCCGAGGCCGGCACTTGGCGGCCCCAGCGGGCCGGCGGCGTCCGGGGCCCCGGGGTCCCTTCCTTTGCCGGATTTGCCGCCGGTGTCGGCTGCTGGAAATCCGCTCGATTTGCCGGCAGCCTCGACCTCCGCCGGCAGCGGGGCCGGATCCCCGCAGCCGTCCAGCCTCTTGGAGCTTACTCAGCCAACTGCCCCGGCGGCGGTGGCAGCGGCGGCCACAGGGCCCACCACTCCGGCGCATCGGCTCCATCACTCACATCATCATCGTCATCTCGCAGGTTCTGTGCCTGGTCCTGGGGCTTCCTTGAGCTCGCTCATGGCGGCTGCCGCCAATGTCGCCGCGACACGGGTCCATGCGGCCGGCACGCCGGATCCCCGGCCCACAGCCCAGTCGACCGCCGTGTTGGGCGGCGAGGCGGCTCTTTCCTTGGCTGGTGGGGCCGGCCGATCGACGGCCGGTGCCGAGCCGGTCAGCGAAAGCGTCGTGGTCGGCGAGTCCCCGCATCGCCAGCAGTCCGGGCCGGATGGCGTCCTGAGCGCGGCCTCGCCGTCCAGCCCGTCAGAGCCCCCTTCCACTTCCGATGGGACCCCCTTCGAAATCTTGACCTTGAACTTGAGCCCGGTGCGCGCCCGGTTTCTTCGGCCCCTCAGTAATGCCACTTCTCTGCCGGTCGGTCTGGGGGGGGGGGGGGGGAACAGAAGCGGCCACGGAAGCGCATGCACACGGAAACAGACATGGCCCATGCGCCAGATCCGGTCCTGCACCCGTGCCCCCGGGCTCTCTTCCACGCCCCGCTCCACATCTCGCCCTACCCAGCCAGCCCCGGGGATTGGTGTGTGCTGCTTTGGGCGGCGGTGATGGCCGCTACTGACGTATGAGACTCAGGCTCCTGCGTGATGTCCGGGAGCATCACACCCCCGGGGCAGGGAAACTGCCTCCAGCCCCCACGGGAGGGCGGAGAGGGGGGCGGGGGCAGGGGGGGCGGGCGTCCAGCCCAGCATCGCTTCCGGGAAACCGCCACCGGTGGCTAATCACCGGCGCGCGCTCCTCGGGGGGGGGCCAACCGGGGGGGGGGGGGGGGGGGCCCACCGGGTTGCCGGTTCGCCTCCGCCTCGCTTACTGACCTCTTCCCCCCCCTCCCCCCCCCCTCTTGACATGTGGTGCGTGAATGCGGTGGCAAAAACAAACGGACAAACAAACCAACCAACCAATATGCCCAGCTGGGCCCCGATGGCACCACCTCGCGAGTCAGTCTCTTTGGGTGTTCGATCTGTGCCGCCGACAACCCCTACGGGCATTATTCGCCGGCGGAGTGCCCAACCAGCAGCTTCGAGTTGGTCCCCGGCACGGCAAGTGCCCTGTGCCAGGCAACATCCCCGGGAGAGGAGGCCCGGCGCCGGGGCCATGCACCGGGCTGCATGTGTTTCTGGTTCGAGGGGACGCCACAGCTGGCGGACCATCTGATCAATGTCCACCTCCGGCGGCTGAAGGGCCGGCCGGGGCTGGAGGCCATCTCGGCTGCCGATGAGCTGGCAGATGCCGACAGCTGGCCGGCCACTCCGGGGGCCTTGTCTCCGCGGGCGGCGCTGGACTCCAATACCAGTGTGCACACGCGGCCGCCGCCATTGCCGCCGGCCCTGATCCGATCCCTTCGGGACCCGGAGCGCGAGGAGCTGAAGGCCAAGTCCTCGGTGTCCTCGACGGTGGTGCTGTCCAAATCACGGGAGAGCTTCGGCCAGGCGCTGCCACAGCTGCGGTACATCAGTCGGTTCCAGTGCTGCTTTGCCAATTGCTCGTACGTGGCCCAGTCCGATCGGCGGTTCCTGCTCGTGACGCACCTGCGCAAGCACTTCCCCTCGGCGGCCTTCAAGTGCCCGATCTGTTCGCAGTCCTACCGCCACTCGCAGAGCCTGCGCAAGCATATGCGCCGCGCGCATGACATGTGACAAGCATGTCCTCCGCTGGGCAGGCCGCAGGACGAGCGATCTGTGGATGTGGATGTGCGCGCGAGCGAAATGTGTCCTTGTTCTGTGTCGCTCCTTGCGCGTCTCCCCGCCCCTCCTCTCGGGCCAGAGAGCAGGGCGGGCCAGGAAAAAAATAAAATAAAATACACGGGTCTTTTCCTCCTGGCTTTCCCTTTTCCCTGGGGGCCTTCCTCCGTCTCTGTCGGCTTTTCCGAGCTCGGGTCCGGATCTCCCCCTCCACCCCCCGCCCCCCACCTGGCCGGCTGCCGTGCCAGCATATGCCAACGTATGAATGAAACATTTTCACCGTCGGCGCGATCGGGCGGTACTTTGCGCACATAATACGTAAGTGCCCCGGAATGCCGCGCTCCATGGGGGATGGCCAGGATGTTGGGTGTTTGCGCGGGACGCCGTGGGCCCGTGCGGCGGAAGTTCCTGCCGGCCGGCGGCGGGGTGGCGAGGGGTGAGGGTGGAATTGCCGGCCTCCTCCTGTTGCTGCTCGCAGGTCGCGGCCCCTAGCAACCCTCCCCCGGCCTGGCCGGCCCGGCCCGGCCCGGCCCTCCCGGCCCCTCCCTCGGCTGGCCACTTGCCATGTGGGGGCTGGTGCGAACACCGATGCTCCCGGGCTTTGGGCCCCTGGCTGCCCCCCGTCCCCCCCCGCCCCCCCCCCCCCCCCCCCCCCTCCTGCACCGGCCCCAGGGCGCTCTCTCGGGCGATGGACGAGCCGGCGGACCTGGCCAGCCCC